TTTCTGAATTAAAAATGGGGATTTCCTGCAGTCAGCAGGCTGGTCTGACTGCTCACAGCGGTGCTTTTGGGGCAGTGTCCTGGATCTGTAACGCAGAAATGTGATCCTGGAGGCTCTTTCCTGCTTCGTGTCCTGCTGTTCAGTAAGTTGTTTCCTGTTTGTGTGTCCATCCTGTATTTCATTTCAAAAGCTCTCATCATCTTTATCGTTCTGTTAGGGGAGGCTGATAAATCTGTGGCATTCAGAGAGCGTGCAGGTGATGGTTTAGTGGTGGATGCTTTCAGGTGAAAAGGACCCCACAGGGTACCAGGTGGGCTCAGGTACAGTCAGTGAGTGCTTGTCAATGAGTTCACAATAGCTGCTGTTAATGGTAGTGGCTGTGCTAGCTGGTAGCTGAACACAACCCCCAAAATTTATTCTGATTTAGGAAAAAGAGCGTTTCTCAAGTGTAGTGGCTTTAGAAAATTTCTCCCAGATTCACTGGATCGTGTACCTCAGTCTTGTTAGTTATTGGAGGATACCATTAATTAGTGGAGTTGGATTGGATGACCTGGTTTGCTGGGAAGGACAGACTTATTAGAAAGGTCAGTAATTTATACCACTACAAAAATTCTTTTGTTCAGCCCAGGAGTGACCTAGTTTTGCCTTCTCTTTTATATCTCTATGAAACTCAGAGATGCAGAAAGTAGGGCAGGAGATAGATGATGAGACATTTGCCCAAATAATGTGGTCACTTGCTGTTAGGTTATTAACTAAGTTCTTACTCATGGAACCGGTTATAAAGCTGAAGTACAGTGGAGTGAGAAAGCACGTGCTCAAGCACAATAATCTGTTAAGAACAGATATCCCTACAAACAGGCTGACTTACAGCTTGCCTTACCTTTTCATCTGATATTGTTACTGGTGGGCAGATATCTTAAATGAATTGAATGAATTCATTTTAGTCTGGTGTTAAGACTGGTTGTAGACTGTGGAAGTGATAGTGAAGGGTGGAAAAAAAAATATTTGTCTGCAGTTGTAGCAAACCAAACCATTTCATGTTCTTCCACTGCATATTTTGAAGTGAAAACCTCTTTGTTTTCTGTGTCTCTTGTCAAAAATACGAAGCTTTAGTATGTCAGTGCAGTCTATTCAAATGGAAAGAACCATTTAGATATTTTTTTTTCCTTTAGAGCCTCATCTTTTTCCAGTGCTGTAGCTGTTCCCCCTGGCAAGTTCCAGCTACATTCAAAATATTTAAATAAGATGGTCTGATAAAGTTGCCTGGTCTCTTAGGTTTTTACTTATTTAGAGGAAGAAATGTTTAAATGGTATTTAGAAGAAATAATTACACAGGGAGTGCAAAATATACTTCTTACTGGCTTTTCTTCCCTCCCTCCAACCTGTTTTCTTGCTATGGGTCAGGACTTAACAGCTCTCAAGAGTGTCTGGCTGAATAGTGGCAGGCTTCTAAATCTCAAATCAAGTGCTCTTCAAAGCACCTTACTTCTCTGGAGATAAAAACTTGAGGCAGGTTTTTTCTATCTGGCCTATTCATCAAGTATAATCTACTGAATTGTTGACATTTCTAAACACTAAAGGGATTTTAAAGATCTTATTGCTCTAAAGAGACTTACTTGTACTACAGAATAAAGAAGTGAAATGAAAAAAAAAAAAATACTGACACATGAAAAGTACAAAACTAAATAACTGCTAGAAACAGCTGAAAGCAAATAGCTGTAATTTGGCATATAATTTCTATACAAAACACATTTTTGATGTAGGAATCTTCTCAAATGTTCAGCCCTGCCCCTAACTTTCAGATAAATAGTAATGTTTATTTTAATCAAAATTAGTCACAAAAGTCTTGCATTTAATGTGATACCAGTTTCTGTCATTCATATTTAATATATTTATTTCCATTTACACTGAGACCTACCGTCTGAAACAAAGTTGTTTAAGAAGAAATTAGCATGACCTGTCTTCTAACCTTTCCCCAGCAACTTGTTATTCTGTGCTTAAAGTTCCTTTAAAGCACTGGTTTCCCAAAGGATAGGCAACACTTCACCAATGCAATTTTTGTATTTTTTTTTTAATAAGTAATACCAATCACCAAATAAAAATATGCCACTGTGCATTTTCATACCAGCACAGGTTAATCCAATATTACAGATATTAAATTACACCTCGGGGATTTCTGAAGTCTGGAGATTATTTGGCAGTAACACCACAAAAGGCATTATTAGCTGGAGTTTTAAACTGTAGCCCTCATGAGTCATGGGGTAGTAACACTGAAGAAATATTAAAATAAGAATTACATAATGTTCGTATCCTTACCTAGGAGTTAAGGGAACTGAACATGCTTCCTAGATCAGTGTCAGTTTTTAGGATGAGAAGACAGTGATAGCAGAAATACCTTTTTTTGTTGTTTTCTCCCCTCTTCTGGCCTGCTTTTTGCCTTACCATGAAGTGTCTGACAGTGGCATTTGCCATTGCAGAGCTGAAGTTTCTAGCTTGTGAA